GATCCTCACCGGACCCACCCATAACCAACTGCACACAATTGACGTGTTACTCAGATTTGCAACTTTCACAATTTTCTCCACTTTTTTCTCAAACGGCTGTTGTTCCTCATCAATATTAACATTAGGTGGTTTATAACATATCCCAACCAATAACTGATTTCCCTTCTTTTGCCCCAAGCAGATATTTACCCATAAAGTTTCCACATTTTCCTCATCATTTCCACTTACTTAAGATTTGGCATTAACCCCTTAAGGACAGAGCTTCAAAAGCTTGTCTTTCACTTAATGACAACAGCATTTTTTTCATTTTTTGCTGTTTGCGTTCAACTGCAATCTGCATTTTACTAATTTGTTGCACCAACACATATTATACATCATTTTTTAAAGGACAGAAAGGGCTTTTAATTTGATGTAACACACATATATATAAATGTTTATTTATTATAAAAAAAGTACAGACAAATGTAAAAAAAAATTAAATTTTGTGGTTTCTTTTACAGTTTTTGCAATAATAATGTGTGCATAATTAGTGCAGGTTAAGAAAAGTAATTAAAAATAAATTAATTTAGTTGTTCTGATTTACAGAATATATAATGTGTCTGGGATTTTAAGTTTTTTTTGGTAGTTATAGGTCACAAAGCACAAGGAGTAAAATAGACTTTTAATGTGGAGAGATTTTCGAATTTGGTATGTTTGTCTTGTAAGCTTAATAGCCATAAAAGAAAACAAAATTGCCACACAAAAGTATATATTTATATAAAGTAGACATCACGGGCTATTTACCTAAGGTTGTTTTGACACTTTATACGTAGCCATTTCACCACTACCTCTGCTAAATATTGGAGTAAAATTGTGTTTTTTTTGGCACACAAACTTATAACAAAGAAATTCTCGTGTATATTTTGTAAAGTTGGTGTGTGCTATTCCTATACAAAGTTTTATTTTGTGTTCAGTTACATCTGCTGAGTAAAATGACACCCACATTGTATGTCTTTGGCACTATTTCGTGAAGTTACAGTGCCATACAGGATACCTGTCCTTTTTAGTATTCACAGTAGAATTTTGAGAGATGGATTTAATGAGCCTTAGCTTCCATTTGGGGTATTATAACAGTTTGACTGTTCAAAAAAAAGGCCTACCACTTGTAAAAGTAGACACTCCAGGGTATCTCATAAGGTGCATATTGTGCCTTAACATGCCCCCATTTTTTCACCAATATATGCCAAAGTATGTGGTAAAAAATAATTTTGTTCATTTTTTACATACGGATTGCATTTTTGCTGGGCGTTTTGTATATTTCATATGTGCCACTAAGTTCAAACCCCCCAAATTATGCTCAGCTAAGTCTTCTGAGTAAAATGACACCCCATATGAATGTCTTTGGCACTATTTCGTGAAGCTACAGTGCCATATAGGAGACCTGTCCTTTACAGTATTCACAGTAGAATTTTGAGAGATGGCTTTAAAGGACCACTATAGTGCCAGGAAAACATACTTGTTTTCCTGGCACTATAGTGCCCTGAGGGTGCCCCCACCCTCAGGGACCCCCTCCCGCCCGGTTCTGTAAAGGGGAAAGGGGTTAAAACTTACCTTTTTCCAGCGCTGGGCGGGGAGCTCTCCTCCTTCTCTCCTCCTCCTGGGCTGAATGTGCACGCGCGGCAAGAGCTGCGCGCGCATTCAGCCCGTCGCATAGGAAAGCATTTACAATGCTTTCCTATGCATGCTTGCGTGCTCTCACTGTGAAAATCACAGTGAGAAGCACGCAAGCGCCTCTAGTGGCTGTCAATGAGACCGCCACTAAAGGAAATAGGGGGAAGGCTTAACCCATTCATAAACATAGCAGTTTCTCTGAAACTGCTATGTTTATAAAAAAAATGGTTAACCCTAGAAGGACCTGGCACCCACACCACTTCGTTAAGCTGAAGTGGTCTGGGTGCCTAGAGTGGTCCTTTAATGAGCCTTAGCTTCCATTTGGGGTATTATAACAGTTTGACTGTTCAAAAAACCCCCACAAAGGCCTACCATTTGTAAAAGTAGACACTCCAGGGTATCTCATAAGGTGCATATTGTGCCTTAACATACCCCCATTTTTCACCAATATATGCCAAAGTATGTGGTAAAAAATAATTTTGTGCATTTTTTACATACGGATTGCATTTTTGCTGGGCGTTTTGTATATTTCATATGTGCCACTAAGTTTAAACCTCCCAAATTATGCTCAGCTAAGTCTTCTGAGTAAAAAGACACCCCCAATGAATGTCTTTGGCACTATTTCGTGAAGCTACAGTGCCATATAGGAGACCAAGCCATATCCGTTTTTACCAGACTTTGAATTTTGACGCTGGGCCTATGTGCAATTTCCAAGCATCTTCGCAGGTTTTAAATTCAAACTACCCCACAAAGGCCTACCATTTCTTAAAGTAGACACCCCAGGGTGTTTCAAAAGGTATATTTTGAACCTTAGCGTGGGATCATTTTTCTGCTAGCTTGTACCAGATGTAGTGGTAATAAGCGTTTTTTCTGCCTTTTTGACATACAAGTGAGTTTGCACAGTATATTTTGCAAACCTTATGTGTGCTACGACTGTATAATACTTCATATGTTGCTCAGCTATGTCGGCTGAGTACAGCAATACCCCCGTATGTACCTTTGCCGGGTATGTGTGGACATCGGAGGGGCACATTTGGGACACAGCCATTCCAGTTTTTTTCAAACTTTGAATTTTTATGCTGTGCCTATGTCCCATTTTAGAGTATTTTACCGGGCTATATAATCCAAATTCCCCATAAAGCCATACCATTTCTTAAAGAAGACATCCCAGGGTATTTCAAAAGGCATATTTTGAACCTTAGTGTGGGATCATTTTTCCGCTAGCTTGTACCAAGTGTAGTGGTAATAAGTGTTTTTTCTGCCTTTTTGACACACAAAGTGAGTTTGCACAGTATATTTTGCAAACCATATGTGTGCTACGACTGTATAATACTTCATATGTTGCTCAGCTATGTGGTCTGAGTACAGCAATACCCCCGTATGTACCTTTGCCAGGTATATGTGGATGTTGAAGAGGCACATTTGAGACGCAGCCATTCAGTTTTTTTCTAACTTTGAAGTTTTACGCTGTGTCCATGTTCCAATTTGGAGTAGTTTAGATGGTTGGTTATTGAAACTTCCCCACAAACACATACTATTTATTAAAGAATACACCCTGGGGTAATTCAAAAGGCATATTTTGAACCTTGGCGTGGGATAATTTTTTTTCTCTAGTTTGTTCCAGGTGTAGTGGTAATGAGCGTTTTTAAAATGTATTTTTTTACTTTTTTAACTTTTTTACTTTTAAAAACTAGTTTTTAAACTTTTGTTTTGCTTATTAATTTTTTTTAAACTTTCTTAAAACTTTTTTACAGATTTAACATTTTTCTAAGCTTTTTTTTTTACCGTTAACCCCTAACTAGCAGTACGCAGCACTAACAGTAAATTCCCCATTTTCCCATAGCTCCCACCCACCCCAGCTAGCAAAATATATAGTTATAAAATATTTAAATTAATTAATTAAATAAATTGAACCCCTGAGGGTTAAAAAAATAAATAAAAATTAATCCTCAAGGGTTAAAAAAAATTAGATCACAGTATAATACTGTGATCTGTATTTGATCGCTGTAGGCAGTGATCGACTGGCAGGGAAGGGGTTAATTTTTATTTGGACTAGGTAAAGGGGGTGTTTTTTATTTTTTACTTAAACGTTATTAAAACTTTTTTTAAGCTTAATTTTTAACTTTTTAAAGTTTATTTTAAAACTTTTAACGTTAACCCCTAGTTAGCCTAACGCCAAATCCCCCAATTCCCCACTAACTTCCACCCACCCCAGCTAGCTAAATATATAATTTTAAAATATTTTAATTAATTAATTAAATAAATTTAACCCCTGAGGGTTAAAAAAAAAAGAATTAACCCTCAGGGGTTAAAAAAAAAAAATCAGATCATAGTAAAATGTAATCCCTGCCAATTGATCACTGTAGTCAGTGATCAATTGGCAGGGAAGGGGTTAATTTTTTATTAAAATGGGTAAAGGGGGGGTGGGACTTTAAATTAACTTTTTTTTTTTTACAGCAGGGGGCAGGATGTGCACTGTTCCGGCTCCCTGCACTTCACACAGAACCAGGAAGTGCAGGGAGGCGGAAGGTGAGTATACAGAGCACATGTGCTCGCTCTGACTTGCGGTCAGAGCGAGCACATGTGCTGGGCAGCCTGACCGAGTGCTCCCGGTATGCCTCTAATGCAGAGGCATACCGGAGCACCATTAACCCCACGATCACCGTGATATTGGCGATCCGGGGTTAATTTTACCGCGTGACGGACGAGGTCCGTCACTCGTCATTAAGGGTCTCCCCTCTGTGACGGACCTCGTCCGTCACCCGTCCTTAAGGGGTTAAAAGAAGAAAAACTACCACAACAAGAGGACATAGTCTTAAATTAGAGTATTACTTTACTGAGAGGATAGTGGATGCATGGAATAGCCTTCCAGCTGAAGTTGTAGAGGTTAACACAGTAAAGAAGTTTAAGCATGCGTTGGATAGGCATAAGGCTATCCTAACTATAAGATAAGGCCAGGGACTAATGGAATTATTTAGAAAATTGGGCAGACTAGATGGGCCGAATGGTTCTTATCTGACATCACATTCTATGTTTCTATGTTTTTATGTTTCTATGTTGTAAATTTCATTTAAATGGTAATTATTAAGAATCATGGTAAAGTTTGCTTTGCAGTAAAAAGTGACACCGTAAAATACTACTTCAAAGCTCATTTGGTTACAGTATCCAATGAGATGACTATCCTCTAACCAGTGGATTATTAAAAATGGACAACTTTTCAACAAGCAACATGTTTATTTTATTTTTTCTAAATAGTTTCTACATTTCCATTTTCACCCCAAGTTTTCAATTTGTCATGGAGAGTTTTAAAAGCATTTTAGTTTGAATGTTAAATATTTGAATGAAACATCCACAAAAAAAAAAATACAATTTAGCAGTTTTCACAAGTGCAATTTTTTATATTAGTATACAGTATAATGTTTGACACAATTTAAATCAAAGACAATGTACGTCACAGTCACAGAGCTCTGTAAGATGCCTGCTTGTTTATTGAACCTACTAATATGATTTTAAGTCCTACCTTCTATATCTTCTTCAGAAATATATTTTCCGAAATCTCACCCTTGAATTAGCACATCCAAAACACTTTACTTAAAGGGACACTATAGTCACCCTGACCACTATAGTCACCCATGCCACCTCAATGAACTGGTCTGGGTGCCAGTTCCACCAGGTTTTAACCCTTCAGATGTAAACATAGCAGTTTGAGAGAAACTGCTATGTTTACCTTGCAGGGTTAATCCAACGTCTTAGAGGCGCTTCTGCGACTGGATGCGAAATGCAGAACGTCCATTGGAAAGAATTGAAAAATGCTTTCCTATGGACTGTTTGCATTTGCATTCCGCTCCACTCGGGAGCCGACATTGGAGTTGGAGGAGAGGTCACCAGCGCAGAGGGAGCCCAGCGCTGGATTAAAGTAAGTAACTGAATGGGTTTTAACCCCTTCAGCATCAAGGGAGGGGGGCCTTGAGGGTGGGGGGACCTAAGGGTTATATAGGGTTTGTTTTCCTGACACTATAGTGATCCTTTAAGGATTCCATGAACAATCTGGTAAACAATTGAGACATTTTCCTGCAAGTTTAATAAAATATTCTTCCATAGAATATTCCACTTTCTTGAGCCAACGTACCATCTGCTTAGAAAGTTCACCAAGGAATTCTCTTTAACTAGAAAATAATTGACCTTGAGACTGTGCAGGTTAATCTGGGCTCACAACATGATAGGAGCCAATTCCTGAAATGAAAGCTTACCTCTCGATCCCCTTTGATGGATGATATAGATGGTCACCGTTCTTCAGAATGTCTAGATCAGCTGCCCATGACTTGAACCTACACCCTGATGGTATATTCACAGCATTCATTCTGTGATTTCTGAGATAAGCGTCTACCAACCTACCAACCATTCTCACATTTTCCTTTCAATCCTTCATAGACTAAAGAAACAGCTTTGGAAAGTGCAATCTTCAGGGGCACCTTAAAAAGAATACAGTGAAGGAAAAAAAATATTGTTCGAAACATGTGACAGAACAACTAAAAATAAAATACTTTTTGTGTCCCAAGAACAACAATTTTCACATTTCAGTAACTGCAAAGGCACTTTCATTGGATATCATTGTCAGAGATCATACACGGCCAGAATAATTATATACATCTCACAGTGAAAGAAAATAAATCATCTTTGAGAACCACATAATAAAATATACATTGCATGGCTGCACTTACACTTGGCTTTTTGATCATCCAATGTCAATAGGTTCATAAAAGTACAGTAATCTGAAAATAGAGCATTAACACCTGCCGCCAGTCATGACAAAATATCCTGAATTACCAGAACTATTTTCAAAAGGGCTTTTATGCCCCTTGTACCTGTCTAATGCGGCCAATAACAACCGTGCAGCTCGACTGCTGTATACTGCTGTATTTTTTATTCATAAAGTACAGGTGCCAGAAAAATCATTAACTCTGAAAATCAGTTACTAAAGGACTGACTTCAAAGCACCATTTTATTTTTTTTAATTTATTTTTTTAGGTAAGTCCGTAAAAATATACTTTATTAAAATGCACTCGGACTGACCCTGTGATAAATCAAGTTAGCAGCATAA